GTGTGTGTGTGTGTGTGTAAGGTTTTTTTCCTTCCAGAAGTGCCTATTTCTTATTGACTGCAGGATCTTCTTAATGGATAAATGCCTGGTCTGTGTGTTTCTTTATTTGCCCCCCCTTCAGACTTTTGAAAACCTCATTTCTCTTGTTTGTTGTGAAATGGTGAATTTAAAAAAGAAAGAAATCACATAACTATTCTGTCTGCTTTGTGTTAGGCCAAATGCTTCAGCAAAACTGCTTGATGGGTAGCAACTTCCTCCTAGATTAGTGGGTAGAAACTAGGACTGAATCTTTGAATAATCTTGGATCTTAAAAAAAGAAGCTAACAAAAATCCCAATACCCAGTTCCTGTCTGCAGATATTGTTTCAATTGGCTGAAGCAAGCTGGAGCAGCTGATAATTTTTAAGTTCTCTTCATGATTACAACGGGCAGCAAGTTTGAGAATGTCTGGGCTATCAGTTTCTCACAGGTGTGGCTCTGAGCGCTGCGATGAGCAAGATGGACTTGACATACATGATCCTAGTTCCTATAGGCTGGTGGAAGCGAGCGGGGTGTTGCTAGGAAAAACAGACCACTAAAGAGACAAATAATAACGAGGTCGTTGTAGATATTACTAAGTGCCAGGAAGCTAAGAAAACAGGGTCCTGTGATAGTGACCGAGAAAAGCTATTTTAGATCAGGGTGGTCGAGGATGGCCTCTCGGAGGAGGTGACATTTGAACCGAGACGTGACTGATGAGAACGAGACAACCGAGAGGAGGTCTGGGGGAAGTGCAGCCCAGGCTCGCAGCCACAAAGGGCACATTAGTGGTTACTTGCAGGCTCCTGGGGGGGAACCCGGAGGCCACCGCCGCCGCGGCCGCCTCTCTAGCAACCACTGACTTCCGCCCTGTGAGTCCCGGGCTGACGAGGAGGAGGGGGCCTGCCCTGGTGCGCCTTCCCTCGCTGTGCACGGGCGGGGCGGGGAGCCGGGGTGGTCAGGCCCCGGGCTGGCCCAGCTGGACTCCCGGCCAGCCTGTCCCGCTCCCCGCCCTTTTCCTCCCGGGGGCAGCTGCAGAGCACCGGGCTGATCTCCCTCTTAAGTGAAACTGACTGTAATTATTTTTTATCTCGCAGACGATCTCTCGCACACTGCTCTCCGGAGACAGAAGTATTTGTTTGATGTGTCCACACTCTCAGACAAAGAAGAGCTGGTGGGCGCGGAGCTGCGGCTCTTTCGCCAGGCGCCCGCATCGCCCTGGGGGCCGCCCACCGGGCCGCTCCACGTGCAGCTCTTCCCGTGCCTGTCGCCCCTGCTGCTGGACGCGCGGACCCTGGACCCGCAGGGGGCGCCCCGGACCGGCTGGGAAGTCTTCGACGTGTGGCAAGGCCTGCGCCACCAGCCCTGGAAACAGCTGTGCTTGGAGCTGCGAGCCGCATGGGGCGAGCCGGATGCAGTGGAGGCCCAGGCGCGTGCTCCGGGGCCCCAGCAGCCGCCACCCCCGGACCTGCGGAGTCTGGGCTTCGGCCGGAGGGTGCGGCCCCCCCAGGAGCGCGCCCTGCTCGTCGTGTTCACCAGATCCCAGCGCAAGAACCTGTTCGCTGAGATGCGAGAACAGCTGGGTTCGGCCGAGGCTGCGGGCCCCGGCGCCGGCGCGGAGGGGTCGTGGCCGCTGCCGTCGGGCGCCCCAGACGCCGGGCTTTGGCTGCCTTCGCCCGGCCGTCGGAGGCGGCGCACGGCCTTTGCCAGCCGCCACGGCAAGCGGCACGGCAAGAAGTCCAGGCTGCGCTGCAGCAAGAAGCCCCTGCACGTGAACTTCAAGGAGCTGGGCTGGGACGACTGGATTATCGCGCCCCTGGAGTACGAGGCCTACCACTGCGAAGGCGTGTGCGACTTCCCGCTGCGCTCGCACCTGGAGCCCACCAATCACGCCATCATCCAGACACTGATGAACTCCATGGACCCCGGCTCCACCCCGCCCAGCTGCTGTGTGCCCACCAAATTGACTCCCATCAGTATCCTGTACATCGACGCCGGCAATAACGTCGTCTACAAGCAGTACGAGGACATGGTGGTGGAATCATGCGGCTGCAGGTAGCAGGCGCATTCCCCGCCGCCTTGGCTCGTGACCGCAGGGGAGGCCTGACTGCAGAGGCGGAGGAGGAGCTGACCTTGGAGGCAGAGGGTGGGGGGACAGCCTGGACATGCACTCCGGTGGGAGGGAAGGGCGCTCAGCCTTCCCAGAACCTTCCACTTGCAAGACCAGAGGGAGATACGGATTTTCACACCTTGACTGGCCAGCCTGGAAAAACAAGCCAAGGAGGATTTCTTTAGTTTTTATCTTTATTATTGTGGCTTTGCATTTCCTTGTGTGTCCCACAGGTTTTGATAGGAGGTGGGGGGAGGGGAGACACATACCTGCTCCATCGGTTGAAAAAAATGATCGTTTAAGAAGGGAAATAGTGTGGGAGGAAGAATCACCTTTGACCACATCTTAGTTTGTTTTCTACCTGTGTAAAGAAGGTGGGCCTTTCTGGACATGTCATAGCCCATGCCTTATGACCTTCCAAGCAGAAAGTGTGAAAATAGAGGCATTGGCACCAGGAACAGGAAAGCCAAGACGGACCCTGCCTTTAGAAGAGAGTTGAGAGAGGTGGGTCCAAGCAGCCCTTTTTTACTTGCTTGTATACCTGGTTCTGCCCTGGCCTCTCCCAATGTAGGGAACTGGCAACCTGCATCTCACTCCAGGAGGCTCAGATCACGGCCTTCACAGTTGCTTTTTCTGGTGGGCGAAAGGGGAGCTGGTATGGCTGGAATGACAAGAATGAGTCCAAATGGAACCCCCTGAAGGATAATGAGAAACCACAAAGCCTGCCTCTGATGCCTGACACTGAGGTGCATTAGCCCTGGCTGGAGGTAGCCCAGGAAAAGCCCTTCCTGATGTCAGTTTCTAATTGATTTCTTTGAACAGAATTTGCCAAAATTCAGGCATCCCCTTTTAAGGGGAAGGCAATTTTCCAGTTACACCAAAGGTGGGTAGAGGTGGGAACTATATAGCTAAGGTAAGAGATACAGAGGGAAAAATGACCCAGAAGTAGAAGGGTGAAGTCCGGAGGGGAGGTAGTGTGTCCCACAGGAGGATGGGGAGAAAGGGACAGGCCAGGAGCAGGGAAGAGAAGGATGAAAGGGGACCCAAGTCCCTGTCTCAGAAGTTTCTTTAAAATCTGTGTTCCCTCCCCTCTCTCTGACATTCCTGAAAGATTACCAGGCAGCAATAGCCCAGGGCTCCCCCAAAAGAGTTGTTTCAGATTGTAATTACCAGTTAGGCAATGTTTTTAAAACTTAGTAATGAGAAACTGTGAAAAGAGCAAAGTGTTACATTGAGCTTGGGGTGGGAGATGGGGACCAGGCGGTGAGGAAGGAGGCAGGGGTGGAATTCATCTTCCGGAAGGAAACAGGAGAGCAGAGTACAATTGAAATGCCCATTCCGGGACTGTCAAAAACATGAACTTTCCCCCAGCCTGCATCAGTATTATTTTAAACACTGCCCATACGTAGGCCCTTTGAAAAGTTTGCTTCCTTCTCATCTTTGACCATGAAATGGTTTAAACAAGGGAATTTCTGCCCACCATTAAAAAAGTTTTTGTTTTTTTGCTAAGTGGTTTTGCTCCCTCTTGGCCTAAACCTGTTGCTTGTTTGGTTCAGAGAACTACAATATGTCAAAGAAAGGGCGAGAATGATAATAAATACTAATATAAAATGCTAAGTAAAAAAAAAAAAAGAAAAAAAAAAGACTTGGCCAGGAGAAATAATTTAAAATGCACATTTGCTTTGGATGCACTGTTGTTCTGTTAAGGCTGTATATATTTGTTTATTTAAGGTGACCGAAAGTGCAAGAGGAAATGGACAGCATGAAATTCATCTTAATGTACAAAATGTTTATGCACTCAAATGTTATAATTTCTAATATTTTTAAAGTTTATATTCGAGTTGTACAAAGTTAAGCATCAGTCAGATATTTCATTCTTTCTTAATGTTATCATTTTCTTAAATATTATTACAAAATTTTAAGTCTGTCTAGTGGAGAGTTGTTTTTTTTTAACTGTCTACCTCACTATAATACAAGTATTTACAACACTCAAGTTACCAGAGGTCAATTAATATTCAAAACATTTTTTACAGTATACTTTTCCTGGATGATACTCAGCCTAATACTGTATTATTAAACTCATTTTCCCCCTTCATAACTCAGCCTGGTTTATATGGATTATTTAGAAAAATTATTTTCTCAGGGAATTATTGTCAGTGTTATTGTCAGTTCCACTATGGGACTGAATGTCTGAAAAGACACTGATTATTTTAAAAGCCCTAATTGAGAGCATTGCACTTTTCCTTTATAACTCTTCCATAACTCTATTTTCATGAAATTTTCATTCACCACATCAAAACCAAATCCCTGTCAGCTATTAGAGCAGTGTTTAGAGGACTGTACCTTATTTCAATATCTCAGAGCCCAAATAGGAATTGGGTTATTTCTTGGTTTCTTTAATGTTGAAAAAAGAAAGCTATAAATTACCTAAGCCAACTAAAATGTCAGTAATTACTATTTATATTTATGGCCTACTGGAAGCAGAAGATATGAAATGTTTTTCTGTTTGTTCACTTGCTATAAATCAGGGAGCCTATGTTACACGTGTAATTCTGAGCACTCACTATCTGTCAGGAATGATGTTGTACATGCATTCTCATTTAGGCTCCTTAGAAACTCCATGAGGGAGGGACTATTATAATTCCCATTTTACAGATGAAGAAACAGGTGCAGAGTTTTAAGTAACCACCCTGTGGTCATCCAGTCAGGAAGTAGTAGTTAAGATTGAAACCTAGTTCTTTCAGACCCTAGAGCCCAAGGAGTTAACCACTATACATTTCTGTCCCCAGATCATCTACCTGCTCTCCAATTTGGTTACTAAATATCAGTGTGGGAAATTTGCAGTTAGCAACAATGACTGGGGGCAGCCCGCTAATGGAGGAGGAACTGCCACAGGGGCTACCAGCATTGCCTGCAGTTTTGAAATATGTGAATTGTGACTGCTGGGAAACTGAAAATGAGCAAGGATTGCAAAATTCAGTGAGTTCTTAGCTTTGGGCTTGCCTTGAGAAACCCATAGTTTAGGTCATTGATGGGCTTCTCTAGATTCTCTACAGTTTTCTGAAACTGCCTTGGGTGTGGTTTTTGGGTTTTGGTTATCCAAGTGATGGTCAATTTACAAATAGGTCATGTTTCAATAGACTAGTCTTAAGTGGGATGTTTAGAACTGAGAAACATGTTCCTATGGGAACAATGTTCATTTGAGTTTCTAGGTCATTTTGCAAAAGCTTTATTTACCCAAATGGGACTTTTTAACAAAGCAATTTTGACTTCTGGATTTTGGAACAGATAATCACCAGGAAAGCAAAATTCCCCTAACTGCCCTAAGGACTCCCAGCTCTGCACCTTAGTATGTTCCCAATCTAGAGATTTCCCTTTTCTGCACAAATATTTCCATCTCCAAAGTTATTTTCCTCTCTTTCCTCCATCAGAAAGTTTATTCCATAACTCAGATGTTAGGAGAAACATGATTTGACTGAATTACATGAAGATGTAAACATCTCCTAGCTCTTCTACCTTGGAGACATTTGCATTTTAAGAAGAAAATCTTGGTTCACTCAGATTTTTTGTGAATGAAAGGAAAAATTTAGGCAATATAGGAGAAGATTCAACAATCATACCCCACACAATTTTGAGAGTTGTATGTGAGCTAGGTACTGATGATACAAGGATGAATGGAGACACTTATCAATGTGAGTTCTTTGGCATCCCTTAGGTGACATTTTGTGCAATGAAGAGACTAGCTAACTTGTTTTAATAGTAATATTCAGTGTGTTAAAGCAAAAGATTTAATAACTTAGTTTTTTTTTCTAAAGCTCTTGTTTAATGATGTAGGCCCCATAAAGATATTTTTTGCCTTTGTTTTGTTCATTGCTGTATTCCTAGCATTCCTATTCAGAATAGTGCCCAACACATAGCAGACACTCAATAAATATGTTGAAAAAATAAATTTACAAATATTATTTTACTTACTAATCTAGTAATTTTAACAAGTACTTTCAAGGGAGCCTTTGATTTATGTCTCTTCAACTCAAGTTGAATAGACCAACCTCCTTTAATCAATCACTTGTGGTTACAAACCTAGTTAATAAACTTTCTTTAAATATTATACATTGCTTTTATCAATTTAATATATTCAATTTTCTTTTTAAAGCCCTTCAAATTTCTCTAGCAGGAAAAACCTTTCCATATACTTAAACCACTGTAAGTAGAGCTAATAAATTAAACTTCTAAATACGATGATGCTTAAGTTCTATTAAGCATTCCAATACTGTTTATACTTTTTTGACTTCACATCAGGAATGTAAAATTAATTTCTCAATTATCCATTTAAATTGATGTCAGAAGTCTAACCTGTTAGATACCTTAATAAACTACATTTTCTTAAAAGTTGCAAATATTTTAAGTACCAAAAATATACAGATAATCTCAATAATTTAAAAAAATATTTTTGCACTTAATATAAAAGTGTTAATTATTTAGATTTGATTTACTTAATCTTTGTACCCTATTCCACAATTTCTTTGTGTTACAAACACTAATCCACTACTGAAAAATGATAGTGTCACTAACAAGGTAGGGAGAAGATTTTAGCCGACTGTGGCTGCAAATCTACCAGAAAGGAAATGGACTCTCGAGGACATTGACCAACATTCCAACTATACTTAATAGTCACTGTAACAACAGGAACCCCAAATGGGCATCTTTTATGAGTTGATCTCTCCTGGGTTCAGGATAGGCCATTAATTAATTTTTCCTTCTGATTTGAGTAAATTGAATTCCACTCTCCCCATTAAGATTGTAGCTAAACTTTTCCACTGATTAATTGGATTTCATATTTATTTAACAATCTTAGGACATTTCTTTGTTTTCACCATTGGCTTTAAAATTACTACCACTTTATTAGATTATTCTGCCCTTACATAATTCTTCCACAACCTCTGCCAGCT